AATAGTGTTTGTGTGCTCGTGTGAATGTGTGCTGTTTTTCTTCTCATCTCACCACGACCACCGCCGCCACCACCACCACAACCACCACCACAACGACTACCACCGCTATTACCATCACTCCCGTTTGTTTTCCGTTGCGTGGGCGCAGTGGTGCCGCGTTGTCTGATGCGCAGAACGCGTCGCTGTTTGTGAAGCTGCTCATTGTGGAGATTTTCGGCACCGCCATCGGCCTCTTTGGCATCATCGTCGCCATCATCCAGGTGCCCTGTCATTGGTGCTTGTTCTCTGCTGTGCTGTGCTGTGTGTTGTGTAGTTTGTGCTGTGCTGTGTGTTGTGTAGTTTGTGCTGTGCTGTGCTGTGTGCTATGTGATGCTTTGGACATGTCGTGGCCTTTTCTTCACTGGAAAGTGTCACTACTTCCACTACTCACATGCATATGCACATGCAAACACATCTTTACACACACATACACACGCATACGTTTCCCTTCCACTTCCCTGATTTCGACGTTTACAGACACAAGGGCAGCAGTTTGGCAAGACAGAATAAGCGGAGACACACACACAACCCGTGCTTGCATGCCCTACCACACATCCAATCACCCAACATGCAAGCCGACACACACGTCCTCTTCCCAACTCCTCCTCTCCTCCCTCTCTTGCACTCTTGTTCCATCCACTACTCGACTCATTAGCCTCTCTGTTCTGTGTCACGTGAGCTCGTACGTGCGCGTGGTTTCGTCTGACATTGTTCGACATTGTGTGCGTGTCTTTGTGTCTTGTTTGCTTCCTGTCTGTTTGCTGCGTGGGCACTATCTTCCAACTCGTTCATCACTGTTGTCACACCCCACGTTTCTCGTGGATTGTTCTTGCTTCGTATTGCACACAAGAGTAAACACCCACAGCAGCACCGAGCAACTGAACATGGCACACACTATTGCTTGCATGCTTTCTCTGTGTTGATGATTGGGTTTTGTCTCTACCCAACACCCAATGCTCACCCCTCCACACAAAAGGCTTGACTGACTGACGGTTGTGGGCTTGCGTCGCAACTGTGTAACGGATACGATAGTGCGCATGGCGCCACAAGCATACGGGGGTGCAAAGGCACAGCAACATGCATGTACGCCTGGATTGTGTGTAAAATGCACACACGCACACTCACACACATGAGCAGCGAAAATAACGCGCCTGGTGTGACTCGCTCGAGCTTGCAGCAACAAGAGAGACAGACACGGGAGAGGGGAAAAGAAAACACACACACACACACACACACACACACACACACACACGCACACACACACACACACACACACACAACACTATCATGACAAGGACATCACGGAACACACGGGAGCTGCAAGAGAGCGGCGTGTGAAAAGCGCACGCACATGCACAACAGGAGACAAGTGGAGACGCAAGCACAACAGCTACACGGTTTCGGTCAAACTACACATAGAATGGAGATGGTGGAGAGACAAGGAAAGGCGGGGCAGCCGTTGTCCAACAACACACGTGTAACAACCTGACACACATACACTCACATACACTCACAAAAACACAACGGGGAATAGTTTGGCTTGTTTGGGAGAGGGAGGTACAAAAATGACTTGGGACTTGCGCTGGGGTTTACGCGTCGTCTGCGGCGTCACCAGAGTCGAGAGGCAGCTTCTCAAAGACATAGTCGAGCTCGCCCGTGTTGAACTCCTTGACGGTGTGGCCGTGGCCAACGAGCTTCCACTTGGTCGTCAGCAGACCCTCAACGCCAACGGGACCGCGCTGGGGGTTCGCACACAAAAAAGCACGAGGAAACGAAGAGAAAGCGAGGAGAGAGAGAGAAGGGGGGAGGAATAAAATGTGTGAGCGATGGTGCAGACGAGCATGAACGATGGTGTGGACGATCAAGATGGCGGGTGGAGTGCACCAGCCAGGCAGGCGTACGGATGAACAAGGGCAGCAACAACATGACCACAACAACATTCACTGCCGGGTATTTTCTCTTCGCCATGGCGGAGTAGCGCAATGTGATGTCGTGTGCACCCCAGGGCGACTTACGGCGTGGATGCGCGATGTGGAGATGCCAACCTCAGCACCAAGGCCAAAGCGGTAGCCTGCACACGTATGGTCGCATTTGTTTGTGGTGGGGGGGGGGGGGAGGAAAAAAGGAGGGATGAGTGTGAAGTTACCAAACCGGCTTGTGGGCCATATCGCTGCAATCAATGTGTCGGCAGTAGCGCACGCGACAAATGGTGGGTGACACAGGCATGGGCATTCGAGATACCAAGGACATCTCACTGACCATCGGCAAAGCGGCTGCTGGCGTTCCAGAAGACGCACGCGCTGTCAACCTCGTTCAGGAACCTGAAAACGTTTTTGGTTTTTTTGGGGGGGGGGAGAGCGAGGAAAGACAATACGCCATTCGTGTGTGAGGTTCATTAAAGACTGCGCGGTCGTGGTGGGAGAAGGAAAGAGGCAGGAGGTGGGTGTTCAGGACATCGAACACACACACACACACACACACGCACGCGCAACGCACTTCTTGGCGGTGTCCTTGTTCTCTGTGAGGATCACGTCCGTGTGGGAGCTGCCGTAGTCGTGAATGTGCTAAAAGGGGGGGGGAGGAAGGGAAAGAAGAGGAGCAAGAGAAAAGGTCAAGTGTGAGGAGGAAACGGTGTTGCTGGAGTGCTTGGCATGCAAAACTGCAAATACAAAAACAGGCACGGCAACAGAACCACAATATGCATGACGATAACATAACATAATCAATCACCAGCATGGCACAGTCTTCGCAACTTCATCGCGGTACTCACGTTAATGGCTGCGTCGGTGTCATCAACGACCTCGACGGTGCACTCGAGCTCGCCGTACTCAATGTGGTAGTCGTCGACAGGGGGACCGCCAAGCGCAACAAGCTCGTCCAGGCGGGGACCAACGTGCACCTTCACCTGCGCACACCCAACACGTCGCACGCGGCCAACATCAGCGTGAGCGAATCAAAGTCGTGCACAGTACACACGGGTGCACATGGGCCAACAAAGTGACATGCACATGCACACCAATACAAGGTTCGTAGCGCGACTTCATACAGACAGACAGAGACAGATAGAGACAGACGGCGGCAGGGCGTGAACGTACGCCGGCCTTCTTGAGTCCGCGAAGAACGTCGTTGAAGGCGTCCGTGTTGACGAGGTCGCGGTGCACGAGCAGCGTCTCCATGGCGTTGCATGCGGCAGGGTAGTCTGTCTTGGCGTCGATGACAACCTCGATGGCCTTCTGCGGATCGGCGTCCTTGTCCATGTACACGTGGCAGATGCCATCGGCGTGGCCCATCACGGGGATGCCGCCAGCCTGGTCCTGGATGTTCTTCACTGCAGGGGCACAACAGCACACATGGGGTGTGAGGCTGGATGAACAAAACAAATTAACAACACACACACACACACACAGTGGCGCGCACCAGTGCAGTCATAGACACACGCACATATAGAGGACACGAGCAAACAATGCAAGTAACCACGATGTGAGGCGCTAACCGAGTTCGTTGCTGCCGCGTGGGATGATGAGGTCAATCATGCCCTCAAGCTGAAGTACAGAAACCACACACAAAAAACACACACGTGTATGGAGGAAAAAATGTGAGAATGCATCAGGATTGCAAACGAGGGTACAACAAGGAGGCGGCACGGGCGTGTGTGGACGAAACAACACGGGTGCATAGTGGGTGCGGCCTTTACCTCGAGGAGGGAGGAGACACCCTCGCGGGTGCTGACGAGTGTGACGGTCTGGGGATCAACGTGCATCGAGAGCGCCTCTTGCACTGCAAACACGAAGAGCACACAAACAAAAACATGTGAGACACTTCAATGATGAACATGGCACATGCACCGGCACAAGCGCAACAGATACAAGGCAACGGACAGACACAGACACAGACGCACATCCATACACACACAGACACACACAGACACAAACACACAAAGCAAACACACACACACGCGCGCGTACCGAGGCTGTGGAGGTATGCGTTGCTGTGCTTTGCTTCCTTGCCGCCCTTGAGGAGGAGGCCGTTGCCGCTGGCGATGGCGAGGGCAGAGACCTGGGGCAGGCAGTCGGGGCGGGACTCGAAGATGACCATCAGCACGCCAATGGGCACAGTCTCCTGCTGCAGCACCAAACCCTCGCCAATCTGCACCGCAACAAACCAACAGGAGGAGGAGGAGGAGGAGCACAAGGGAGAGGGTGTGCGCGGTTGTGGATCGGTGTGAGGATGAGGGAAGGCTTGTTTTGAGCAGGAAAGCCAAGCACACATGCATCCAACACAAACAAACAAAAGAACAAAAGACAACAACAGCTCATGTGCGTACAAAGCAAGCAGCGAGCTGGATGAGCACCGCAACAAAAGCCGACCTTTGTCTTCTTGAGGATGTGGCCAATGTGCGTATCGCAGCCGGCGGCAATCTGGCGAAGGCCGTCAGCGAGGGACTTGAGCTTGGACGAGGTGAGGGAGAGGCGGGCAACGAGGGCATCGGAGGTCTTGGAGGCAACGGCAGCCTTGATGTCGCGCTGGTTGGCCTTCATAATCTCAGACTCGCGCTCGAGAAGGAGGTCTGCAAGGCGCTCAATGATGGCGCGGCGCTGGTCGGCAGGCAGCTGGGACAGCTTGCGGCCGCCGCTGCGGACCGCCTTGCATTGCTCCTCCACGTTGGCGCGCATCGACTCCTCGCTGGTGAAGAAGGTGCCCACGCGCTCGCCAGAGGTGACGGCCTTGATGGTGTTGAGCTTGGTTCCGTTGGCGATGATGACGGCGGTGCCGTTGCGCCAAGCCCACGTGGCAGAGTCGACCTTGGCCTGCATGCCACCACGGCCAACCTTGGAGCCGCCGCCAAAGGTGACGTCTGGGTCCTTGCTCGGGCAGTACCGGTCCAGGAGACGGGACGTCTTCTTGTCAGGAGGGCCACTGCACACAAATCCATGGATGATTTGTCATGTTTGCGTGTGTGCATGGTCATGTTTGCGTGTGTGCATGCATGCATTTGGGGGAGTGGGTGTGTGAGGAGAAAGAAAGGAGATGCGCAAAAAAGGGCAGGGCAGGGGGGTTGGAAAGGGAACAATCGCGCACAAGTGCAAAGGGCAAAGGCAAGAGCAAGAGCGAGTGCGCAAAACCACACGCGTGCACACACACACGCACACACACACACAGATAACAACAACAACAACAACCACAAACGCACCTGTAGATGCCATCGACGTCGGAGAGGAGGAGGAGGGCATCGGCGCCGACTTGCTTGGCGACGTTGGCGGCAAGGGAGTCGTTGTCAAGTACGCTGAGCACGCCGTCAAGGTCGGCGTCCTGCATGCCTGGCGGGGACACGGCGTCGTTCTCGTTGATGACGGGGATGACGTTCATGGAAAGAAGCTCGTTGAGGGTATCGGTGAGGTTGTTGACGGTGGAGCGGGCGCGGAAGTCGTTCTTGGTGACAAGCACCTGGGCACAGGTGATGCCGTACTGGGAGAACATGGACTGGTAGAGGGAGACAAGGCCACCCTGGCCAGCGGCGGAGGCGGCGCGGGGATCGACGCCGCCGAGGGTATGGCGGCCGCCAACCTTGAGCGTCTGTCGAATGGACCGCGACAGCGCGTGCTGCTGCTGCAGGAGCTGCTTGCCAAAGGCCACGGCACCGCTGGTGACGAGGATCACCTCGCGGCCCTGCTGCTGGAGCTCAGAGGCCTGTTCGATGATGGAGGCCATGCGGCCAAGGGCGACACCGACTTCGTCCTGCCGGGTGATCACTGCCGAGCCGAGCTTGATCACGACGCGGCGCGCGATGCGGGGATCGCTCAGTTGATGGCGGTGGGTAATCAGCGAGGCATGGCGCACCCAGACGGGTGTTGTTGCCAGCCGGGCTAACCGACTACTTTGACCACAGATCATGGCGCGCTGTGTGTGTGTGTGTGTGAGGGGGTACGTGCGGGTGCAAGAAAGGTGTTAAGTGTTGAGTGTGATGGAAAGGACGGAGATGTGGATGGACGGGATGGAAGCGGCGAAGCAACCACACGTGTGATTGGGTGGGGTGGTAATGTGTGTGTGGCAGCAGTGGATTGATGGCGCAGGGTTTGTGGATTGCACACTGGCTTGGAAAATGGTTGATGGCAATGACAAACACTGACCTTTCAGTCGTTCTTGCCGCCAACCAGCCCGCTCAGATTCAGATGGGCAAGACGCCGCATTTGCAGAACCGAAAACCTGCCTGCACGGCTTTCTTCGATTACGGGCACATCATCGGCCCGTTTTGCGTCCTAAGAATATTGCCAATTTTCTACAACCTGCAATCGCTGGCCGCCGCCAAATTTTGAAAACGACGACGACAAACCAGGTCGATGTGTGTGTGTGTGTGTGTGTGTGTGTGTGTGCGTGTGTGTGTGGGTGTCTCTCTGTGTGTGTGTGTGTGTGTACGTGTGTGTGTGTGTGTGTGTCTGTGTCTGTGTGGGTGTGTCTGTGTGTGTGTGTCTGTGTTTCCTCTCGTTTCCTCTTGTTTCCCTTTGCGTCTCTCTCTCTCTCTCTCTCTGTCACACACGTCAATGTCAACAAAAACAGAACAATCTCCAAAGCACAGAGCAACCCCCCGACAGTCCAACAAGCAATCAAGCAACGAGCGTGTGCAGCCATGGAGCAGATGACCACCTGCCTCATCGACTGGGTAAGCACACGATGCTAAGAGCATCGATGCGTGACCAGCGCCGTCGCAATAGCAACATCTCCAGATGCCACTGTGTCGGTACAGACTGTCTCCAGCAACAACCACGTGCGAACCATAGCCACGCTCCTGCCCTCTCACTACAAACACAACACGGCACGACCAACAAACTAATCATGAACCATACTGCAGCTGACAAAGATCTCTGGCAAGGAGATCAGCAGCCTCACTGCGCTTGCAGACTGCAAGATCCTTGAGGAAGAGGCCCGCACCATGTGAGTGGCAATAGCCGTGTTTGTTTTGTTTATGTGTGGTCGTGGTTGTGATTGTATTTGTGGTTGTGGTTGTGGTTGTGGTTGTGGTTGTATTTGTGATTGTATTTGTGATTGTATTTGTGATTGTATTTGTGGTTGTGGTTGTGGTTGTGGTTGTGGTTGTGGTTGTGGTTGTGGTTGTGGTTGTGGTTGTGGTTGTGGTTGTGGTTGTATTTGGCGCTGCGCTTCTGTGTGCAAGATGCGTGCGGCTCTCGATGAGTGTTTTATGCGCCCAAGTTAATTCGACCCACTCACATGTGTGGCCAAGCGTCGCCCCTTCACACACACGCACACACACAAACCTTCTTCCTTGCTCTGCCATTCAGCTGCTGGAAGTCACCTGTGCCTCAGCGCGAGAGCAGCTGCAAGACCGTCTTGGCCATTCTGGAGGCATGCTTTGAAATGCGACTTGGAGGTCACATTCACACAGACCAAATTGAGCAAGGAAACGCTGCAGAAATCATCAAGGTGCTGTGTTAGCCTGTGCGTGTGTGTGTGCGTAAGTTTTGTTGGATTTATGGTATTTGCGTGTGTGTGTTCTCTCTCTCTCTCTCTCTCTCTCTCTCTCTCTCTCTCTCTCTCTCTCTCTCTTTCAATTGTCCTTGCGTGAACGCACACAGTGGTCGGTGCTTGTGCACATGCATGAACTGGCGCATGCATGCGCTCTCACTTACACTCACGTCTCTCCTTCCCTCCGACACCTCTATGCTGTTGCCGTTACTTTGGCTTTACAGATGATTGCTCTCCTCACCCTGGCCTCCCTCGACGAGAAGGCGCCTATCAAATACTATGAGTGAGTTAGCACTGTGTTTAATCCGAGCACACACACACACACACTCACGCACACACACACACACTCTCTCTCTCTCTCGCTTCGTATTTGCGCAGACTTTGCGCAGTAAACACACCAACACACACCCAACACCCTCACATCCTCACATCACCACATTGCCATGTGCCTGCTTGTACTGTTCAGTGCGCTGCAAGACATGTCTGACGAGCACGTGCAGCATCTCGAAAGTCTTCGTGAGCTCGCTGCATCGCTGCTCACTCCAGAGATGGGCGCTGAGTCACCAGACCAACAGTCACCGGCGTCACCCAGTGCCCACAGCCACGCCAGCCACAGCGACCCCCTCAGCATGAGCATGAGCATGAGCATGCCCGGTCGGCCACAGACGCCGCAAACACCCACGTCACGTGTTGGCAGCATGCGTCCGCCTTCGCGCTGCATGGTGCGCACGCCCCACCAGCACCGCCTGCTCCGCACGCCCCACCAGCACCGCCTGCTCCACACACCAATCTCCTCACGAAAGGCCGCAAAGCGCGCCCTCGAGGTGTGTGCGTGTTTGTGTGTGTGTGTGTGTGTGTGTGTGTGTGTGTGTGTGCGTGCGTGTGTGTGTGTGTGCGTGCGTGCGTGTGTGTGTGTTTGTGTTGTGTGGTGTGTGGCGTGCGTGTTGTGTGTACATGTGCATGTGTTGGGTGGTATGTGGCGTGCGCGTGCGTGTGGGTGTGTTGTGTTGCGCTTGTAGGTGGTTATGCATTGTGTGCCCATGTGATGCTTGAGGTCCTGTGAACCATTGCCTTGCGTGTACTTGTGAACAATTGCCTTTGCATGTACAATTGAACCGCTTGCTGACACTTTGGTTTACCTGTCATTGCTGCCTGCTGGCATGTTGGCCCCACACACAGCGCGTCAACACTGAGAACGACGATCTCCGCGAAGGTGAGCGTTTGACTGTTGCGAGTACAGCTCTGCACGCATGTATGGAATGCCCTCGTCTCAGTTGTGACGTGAGGTTCAAAAGTATTCGGTATTCCTCACGTGGCTGACATCTGCCGGTGTCTTTTTTTTTTTTTTTTTTGGTTGGTTGCAGAGCTGCATGAGCTTCAAGAAGAACTGAAGGAGAGGAGTGCGCAAGTGGCAGCACTCACAATCAAGGTGAGCTTTCGCAATGACGCTCACGACATGAGCCTCACACACACACACACACACACACACACACACACACACACACACACACACGTTGCTGTTTGTGCTTTGACGCAACACCACATGTCAACAATCAGCCACACATGCTTGCACCATGCCTGCTTCATTCTGCACCCCTACTGTCACCCCACCTCACGAACTCACGTCACACACTGCGAACACCGACCAATCCGCCATCAATAGGCTGAGCGTGCTGATCGCTTTGAGGCGGAGTTGGAGGACGCCAGGACGGAACTCGACGAGCTGCGTGATGTGCGCGGAAGATTTGACCGGTATGGTGTTGAACTGGGGCTGCTTGTGTCTTTCTAGATGTTTGTGCAACACGCTGTAGTAATTCGCACCATTTTCCCAAAGTTTTGTCATTCATGCATGCACGCATGCATACATATACACACGCACACACACGCGCACACACACACAAAAGGATACACACATACCCATGCACACATCCACACATACCCACTGAATTGCGCCTGGCTTACGATCATCCCAACATCGCCTGCATGTGTGTATGTGCGTGTGTTGTCAGGATGAAGCGGCAGCTGGAGCACGCCAACGAGGAGCTGGACCAGCTGCGTGTTGTTGAGCGCCAACTGAGCGACGCGCTTGAAGCACGTGACCGCATGCAGGAGGAGAAGGCGGTGTTGGCGAAGAAGTTGGAGTGCCAGGAGTCGTCTTCGCGCCGCCGCATCTCTGAGCTGCAGAAGGACCGCACACGTGTCAGCGAGCTCGAGGGAGAGCTCTCAGCATGGGTAAGTTGCACCACGTGTAAATGGGTGTCTGAAAATAGGTTTTGTGTGCATGTTTGTTTGTTTGTTTGTTTGTTTGTTTGTTTGTTTGTTTGTTTGTTTGTTTGTTTGTTTGTTTGTTTGTTTGTTTGTTTGTTTGTTTGTTTGTTTGTTTGTTTGTTTGTTTGTTTGTTTGTTTGTTTGTTTGTTTGTTTGTTTGTTTGTTTGTGTGTGCGGCTGTGTGTACGCAGCTGTGAAAACGCTGATACCACGATTTGTGGTTTTTGCAACTTGTCAGTGTCAAATTGACATGCTCACCTTTCACACATCCATGCATGCACACACCGGTTTCTTGTGTTTGCTTGGCCAGAGAAACGCGGCAGAGAATGCAGAGGCGCAGGTGAAGTCCCTCAAGGCAGAGCTGGCGGTGGTGCAGAAGCAAGTGAGCCAGGAGGCCATGACCAAGCAGAGCGACGCAGCCGAACTTGAGGCAGACAACGCGCGTCTGCGCACAAGCCTGAACGAGCTGCGAGCAGAAGTGTCCTCCATGTCGCAGGAGCGAGACAGGTACTTGCAACGCATATCTTTGGTTCTGATGGAGTGAAGGACGTATTCACTCGCACGGCCACACTTCACAAATCCACACACACACACACACACGGCATACAATTTGGCATATTGACGCAGAACATAATCACGCACACAAACACAACATAACCACACATGATGCACAAAGCCGTTTTTTCTCACGCGTGTTGTATGCTGGCGTGTCACATGGTTCGCTGTGTGCCATAGGCTGCTGCAGATGTCACAGGAGTTTGAGGTGAAGGAGTACGAAATGAAGCAAGCCATCTCCGAGTTGCAGGAATCGTGCGAGCAGTACAAATCCGCTTGCTCTCAGCACCAGATGAAGGTGTGCCACAAGTGGAGGTGTCCCTTGTACTTTGGGAATTACTGTGTGTACGTGTGTTTGTGTGTGCGTGCGTGTGTGTATGTGTTTGGATGTGTGTGTGTGTGTATGTATGTGTGTACGTGTATGTGTTTGGATGTGTGTGTGTGCTCATGTGCTCCCCACCACACTTCTGTGGTGTGCTCACGCAGACTGTACCTGTCCGAAACACACATCTGACTCATGCATGGACACATACATTGGCACATGTACGCACATCTGACGCATGATACAGGCGGTGAGCTCTACGGGACGCGTGCGGGAGTTGGAGGATCAAGTGGAGGCGCTCACGAGCGACAACGCCGCAAAGTCGGATGAGATGCATGCGCTGTCGCAGCGACTGGCAGCAACACGCGCGCAGCTGGAGGACCTGCAGTCTGAGCAGTCACGCATGCGCGCGCGCGTGTCTGCGGCGGAGCGGGAAAACGCCCAGCTGCGCAGCCAGCTCAAAGCGCAGCAAGACAGCACTTCACAGAACAGTCAGGCCGTGGAAGAAGCGCAGGCACAGGTGTTCCACCTCAAACAGCAGCTGGCAGACGCGCAGGAGGAATTGGCGCGAAAGAAGAAGCAGAACACGCTGCTGCTGCGCGATTACAACCGTCTGATTGAACGCCTCAAGCACGAGACGCAGGTGGAGGTGCGCAAGACCGAGATGCTCAAACAAGCAAGCCGCAACGCATCTCCCGCCACGGTAAGCTATGTGAGCCGTGAACATTGGGTGCAGACGTGCGCACACGTGCAAATGCGTGCGTATGCCATGCAAACGCATGCAATTGGGAGATGCGTGCGAAGTTGACATGATGAGCGAAACATAGCGAGCGCAGCGGTGTGTACTAGGTTTGTCTTGTCTGTGCAACCGCCATTGTGGCCTGGAACACTCAGCAGCAAACCACATACATGTGTGTCACGGGTGGTTGTGTTCAATGTAGACGCCGGTTGCCCAGGTCAGCACGCCAAAGTCAAGCATGAACATGCGCCGTGAGCTTGCTGCACAGCATCAGGTAATTTCGGTCAAGTATATGCAATTCGTGATGTCTTGGTTGCTTCGAAGACCTGCTTGGGTCATGCACTTGCCGCCCTTCCACTTTGATGCTGTCAGGACGCACACACTTGTTTTGTGCGACCCTTTGTTTGCGTGCGTGCGTGCGTGCGTGCGTGCGTGCGTGCGTGTTCTGTGCAAGTATCCTTGCAAACACACACACATATGAATTTACACGCTTTTTCAAACACACGCACGCACAGCCAAGTCCGCTGCAAGCACAGCAATCACGGCCGCCACAGCAACAAGAGGCTCGCATGCCCGGCCCCCGGCACCACCGCCAGGCGTGGGCGGAGCAGACACAAAGCAAGGACTATTACAAGCCGACAGATGACAGCCGAATTGAAGAACTCAAGCGCCGTAACGTGAGACTTCCACGAGCACCCATGCACATACCTGCTCTTTGCATGCTTCGCTCGTGTGCAATTGTGCGCTTTCATATGTGTGAGCATGGGTATGGGTGAGTGTGTGTATCCGAGTGTGTGTATATGTATGTGCGTGTGTATGTGTGTGTGTGTGTGCGCGCGCGTGTGTGCGTGTGTGTCGTGTCTTGTATGTCACACTGTGGCATTCTCATCCCATGTTGGTGATAACACCAACGTCCACCCTTACATCTGTCTGTCTCGCACTCTGTTTCACACTCCTGTTGTTTTCCTGCAGGCTGCGCTGCCACCCCATCTCCGCTCGAGCAACTTCCTCGAGACAACAAACTTCATCAACGCAGCACCGGCCACGAAGAAGGCAGAGTTGGATGCACCAGAGGTGCGTGTATATGTGCACATGCGTACACGCGCATGTGCACATGCATATCCGCAAAAGCTTGCGTGCGTGTGTGTTTGTGTGGCATGACCAGCAGCTTGTGTAGACCAGCTGTGTGTCTGAGAGGCTGTTTGGCTGCATGGGAGTGTGACGCTTTCGGGTTGTCTCTTGCATGCCATTTGACCCCCATGTGTGATCGTGTCATTCTCGCACCACATTTCTTCACTTTAGCCGAAGCTTGACACTCGCCGCAAGGCATGGGGAAAGGCCACGACGAACATTCCTCCGTTTGCAACCGCAATCGGCTCCCCACGAGGTGCGCACTGCGAACACATCGTGTGTGCGTGTCCGTGTACCTGCGTGTTTTGTGTGGATGCATGTTTGTGTGTAATAGCCTGCGCCATGTGCGTTGCTTTGTTCAAGCGAGTCATCATCTGCAGCACGTGAGTTCTCATGTACAACTTCGCCTCACTTGCGTGTGCGCGTGTGCGCATGTGTACACAGAGCCCCTGCGTACGGTGCAGGAGACGGCAGTGCAGCGGCAAACAGTCAAGGTGAAGAAGCACAGCTGTTCACATGAGTGTGTGTGTGTGCGCGCGCGCGCGCGTGTGTGTGCATCTGCAGATTCAAAGGCAACCGTTTACACACACGCACACACACACTTGCTGTTGATGGTTTGTCTTCGACCGTTTGTGCGCACAATGCTGCTTGTTGTTTTCTGTACGCGGAACGTTTACCTCGATCCCAACTCCACCTTAACCAAAACGCATCTCTCAATCGCGCTCTAACCGGTATGGCATTGGCTGGTGCCCGTCATTGCAACAACAGAAACCCGTGGCCTTTACCTTTGACTTTGGCGGTCCTGCCAACTCAAGCGCAACGGTGTGTGTGTGTTGTGTTGTGTGTGTGTGTGTGTGTGTGTGTGTGTGTGTGTGTGTGTGTGTGTGTGTGTGTAT